GTTTACCTTAAAAAAATTTCCAAAAACTCTCATATACAGAAATAAATAGTTAGAACAAGATTTTATAGAAAATATTCTATGTAAACATACATTTTTGGAGCTTATTTACAAATCGTGCATAAAACTACTATTAATTCATTCTACCATAATTTTTCAAATTTTTTTTTAAAAATAGATTCAGGCGAAATGGAATTAATTTAGAAAATAACAAAGCAATTTCGAAATTGAAAAAATAAAATTCGTAACGAAAACTTACCGCAATTCTGGATGATTCTGTTGTTTCTTCAAGTTTCTCTTTTCTTTCCTACAAAAATAGAAATCGAAAAAATAGAGAAAACTGGGAAGTGAAAGTATCCTGTTGCTACTTTTTGTTTTTTTGATTCTTTGCTTCAGTTATTAATCATCTAGTCTTCAACAAAATTAATTCTATAAAATATTATCAAAGCCAAAAGGTGCTCCTTCCGTCTTTTTTTGCGCACTTATAAAAGCAATGAATTTAAATCTACCCAAGCATGAACTTCATAATGCTATCAAACCTTATAAATGCATTAAAAATAGGAATACACAAATGCATATGTAATTTCCAGCTATTACTCAAACTGAGCAATATAAGCAGTCAATTAATTTTTCCGGAAATTTCTGACTAATAAACTTAATTTCCTGACCCAATTAGAACTAGCATTATCTACTTCAAATTTCTCAGTATAATCCGTTACAGTACGACAAATGTGACAAAATTACTGAACCTTTATTCTGTGTATTAATTCATCGAGACGATGTTGCAAGAAGTCACAATTAATCCATTCTTTATATTCATTTCGTGACAAAGTTTCTAGTAAGAATGTCATATGATTAATCATATCAGACTTCTCACTTTCTTCATTTTCCTTTTCATTGCCCTATAAAATTATGAGATTATGGAAAAAAAACTGGCTGAAAAATCAAACTGTGAAAAAGAAAAATCACAAATTACTCAATCATTTACAATAAGAATTAAAAATATAATAAATAAATACAAGCAAATTTTCAATCAATTTTTATGATAAAAACAAGATTTCGCTCATGAATATGACAAAAAAATATATAATGAATCTAAGTAGAAACAAATTCCTACTTGGTGATTCAGCCAATTTAGAACATTATCATAATTTTTTTCAAATGATAAAAACAGAGGTTGAACATTTTTCATATGTTGCAACAGAGCTTGCAAATCGGAACGCAGTTTGCGATATTCGCCTATATTTTGTTCATTGTTTGCAATACGCGTCTTTAACAATGCCATCCGTTCATTCTCCACTCCTTGCACTTCACGAAGACAGTCCTACATGAAAAGATGAAAGCAATGAGAAAAACAAAAAAGAATAAATAAATATTTGCATATCCCTAATATCAGCTATAAGCAATATGAAGTTGACATATGTGTCATGGAGCTTGCATATGGCGTAATACAACTTTACAAGTTTCTAAGTTGAAAATAAACTGAATTACATCAATTTCATTTATACAAAGATCGTTATACCAATATCCAAAAGTACTAACTGTCACTTGACTAATTGCTTGTTCTAAGCTACTCAAGTCGGTGACAACAGTAGACATTTGTTGACGAGCCATAACGAGCCATTTTTGAAGTCGACTGTTTCCGGGGCTTTGTTTATTTAATGTTGTAGCATCAATATTTCCACGAGTTGGTACTGTAACCTTAGTTTGGACTGTTTTTTCCAATACTGCATTTCCTTGCAAATGTGATGTTACTTTTGTTGGGATTTTCTGCAACATTATAGTAAAGTACTGAAACTTGTATGAATGAAGAAGCAGAGAGGACTTCTACATCAGTCAAAATTACATCATGAAAAACCATAATTACTGAGTTCAAATTTATTTCAAATTTTATTCCCATCCTGCCTATCATAGCCAGTAAATCAGATTTTTGTGATTCAAACTGAATCTTAAATTCACGAACTATCAGTGTCGAAAGAACAAAAATAATCAAACTTTGTTCTATATAACAATTTGAAGTATGTTGCAAAAATCACGAAATATTAGAAAACATACTCGTTTTATGGTACTGATACGCTTTCTCAGTTCAGAAAGACGATTGTTAACAACTTGCTGTACTTGATCATTTCCAAATCTTGCGATATCATCGCGAATCCTCTCACAATATCGCAACAATTCCTTGTCATCTTCGTCAATCAGATTGCGTTTCTCACGCTCTGAACGCGTAATTCTCTCTTCAATCTGGAAAAAATTTTGAAAGCAAATACAAATCCGAAAATTAAATCCTTTTTTGAATTTGGAATTCTACTGCGAAGTTTTAAATTGAATTTCCAAAAAATAAACGAATTCTGTTGTAATACTTTAGCTGCAGTATTTTCAAATTCACGCCAAAATTTGGAAAGTTCATCCAGATGTGGTTTTAATTGCTGGAACTTTTCCACTGTTTCTAATGATGCATCCTCGCACTGCTTGATAACGCATTCAGTTTCTTCTACGGAAGCTGAAATTGAAGAAAAATAGCTTTGACCGTTAAGTAAAAGTGATAAATCAAAAATCTGCAAGTTTAGGGAGTACTTCTTGCTCAAAAGCTTCATTCACTAATTCCAGGCTTTCCTGAAGATGTATTTAAAACCTACTTACAATAGCTATAATAATTGGTACTAAACATATATTTTAAGACGAAAATAATTACAAATGCTTATGAAACACAGAAAATGAAAGTAATTAACTAAATGCAAAGAAAACGTCAAAAGAAGAGAGTCTAAAAACGGAAACATTGACTATTTACAAGATTGGGACTTTTTCCATTTAAGTTATCCATTTAGAAAACACAACAAAAAAAAATTGATGCATACCTTCACTGTAAACTTGTTTTAGATGCGCAAGAAGTCGTTTGAATTTTTTCGCTGGAGCGCTATCCGCTTCCATCTAAAATTTCAAAGCAATATAATTAGGCCTGCTTCATATGAAACTAAGTAAAAATTTTCAAAAAAAAAAAAAGAAAGAAAACTGCTATGATTCGAAGAAACTTAAATTACCTTATATTCTTTCAAAGATTTTTGAATAGCAGCAGCTGAATCACTGGATTTCCATCGTTCCATCTTTTGATTCAACGCTTCTGCATTAGAAAGAAGCTGATAATGTGCTTGCACTCGATGAAGGTATTGCAAATGACGTGGAGCTGCAACTGCTAGAGTATTGAATCGAATCTTCAATGGTTCTAACAATTCCACGGCAATTTCGCGTTCGTCTACCTTTCGGTTAAGGTAAATAGTTTGAAATCGTTCCGATCGATAAGGAAATTCCGAGAAATGAATCTGTAAAAAAAAAAAAAAAGATTTCTAATACTACAAGCATACAATGAAACGATATGCTTAAATATTTCAAAAAATCATTTAAAGACTTTTTTTTTACCTAGATATGAATATCCATCTGTTCATCCTCAGATTTTAATAAGCAGTTATCAATACTGAACGTATAAACCTTATGATGACTAATTGATTCATTGATATTAGACAGTGATAATTGTACATCGTCCACCCGTATATCTACCGGATTTTGTATCATTTGTTCTGCAGTACATAACCATTGTGCCAATTCAGATAATTTTTCTGGCAATTCACATTCCAAGCTATGACTCCAGTCTTCCAAAAGATCTCCAATCCTTTTCCAACTATAAATAACATTTTGAAAATTTTTTTATTAAAATCAAATTATGATTAAGAGTAGTAGGAATCATAATAGATGTTAGAGTAAGCATTTCTCAGCTGGACATCGCACTCATAAAAAAGCCTGTTATCTATATTGGATGAATAGAATGAAAGTATAATCTTACTTAAGTAGGACATTCTCAATTGGAAGAACACAAAAAATATGCCAGGTAATTGTTGTCTTATCTCTCTACATTTATCAATTACGATTATTAAAAACAAAAGATGCGTAATTTCAGTTTAGTTTCTTCTTCATCTATGCTTTTTTCTTTTTTGCTAAAAACAAATTGTAATTCACAAGATATTTTAGAAATCTGAATTTATTTTAACCTGTCATCAACATTATTTTTATTGCTTTTTTTTTCTTCAAGCAGTAGAGAAAAGAGAAAATATATATGTGTGTTTATGTTTGATTTTAATGACTGCTTCAAGCATGTATTTCTAATGAAATAAAAAACTGATTATTTTCAAGGGAAATTTTTAAAAAGTGAATTTTTGCTATGTTTAAATAGAAACTTTAAAGGAACAAATGCGGTTTGATTTAAATAAGCCATTAAACTACTGATTATATAAACAATCAGCAAAATCAAGTTCGAATGTCTATACTTACTGTTGTTATGTACACAAAATCCTATTCAAAAAACACTTTATTTACAACTCTTAATTCTCATTAAAATAAAGCATTAAAGCACTCTCTCTTCCTGATAATTGTTTCAGAAAGCAAAATTTTTTTTCTGTTTAAACTTTGTTCATTTTAAAGTTTATTAGTTTACGCTTTATTGTTTATTTTATTTACTGTATACAATACATGCTATTTTTATAGAAGATTAAACTGTTAAATCTTCTACCAAAATCTGTTCTTCTAACGTTACCTTTGATGAACTGAAGTTTCAAATACATGAAAATAAGTTTTTAGCAGCTTAGCTAGCTAATACCAACATAATATTTCAGCTAATATCAACAACCATAATCTAGGATATACTGATAAAATAAACATCGAAAGGAGAAACGATATTATTTCTACTTAACTTTTCCCTCCATTTATCATTATATTTTCAAAATCAATCGTTACTATGCTAATTTTATCAATAAAATGGAAGGAAAATAGCTTAGAATGGAGAAATAGAAATTTCTGAAAGATATACTCTGTACAGTACAGAAGAATATGCATAGTATATATGAATGTCTTTTCTGCTACTACCGCCCGTACTTCAAGATATTTCTGTTAATTTAATGAAGCCTCGATGCAATTCTAGACAATGTCAGGCAATTACCATACCTCTTGGATTAGATTTACCTGAGAATGAATCATTAAAAAGATAAATGTATCATTTTTTTGAAGTGCTAAATGATATTTAATAGATCTTCTTGATTTCTAAACAAGCTGTAGGTGTAAGCTTACCTGGCTTCAATTTGATTCCATTCACCTTCCGGTAATTTAGCAGCATATTCGCGAAGTGAATAATATGCATTGCGATGCTCAAAATACTGTTTTCGTAATGATAGATATGTCTGCAATATATATGCAATTTAAGATAAGTTAACACATCAAATCTCGATTTTGGTCATGTATATAGATAATATAGCTTAACCAGAATATCATAATTGTTAGATCTAACTAGATTTTGCTAGCAAGTTCGGTATATTACTTTATACGAAATGCTAAGTAGTGCGGTTATATTTTAAGAATAAACAGTGAAAAATGTGGAAAATTAAATGACAGTCATATAAATAATTTCTAGCAGCTAGCCATTTACGTTATAACTCTTACAGTTATTTTAAGTGGATTTGAAACTGAAAAATCAATAAGAAAAATGCTAAAAAAAAGAATTTGAAATTAAAAAAACTGCCAAAGACCTGAAGAGGTATATAGATAAACAGGGTTATTGTTAACTATAGTAACAATTAAAACAACATATATTTACTTCAATAACATTAATAAAAGATCTCAAGATGCTAAAAGTGCCTTTATTCAAAAAAGTTAATTTATAGCTTGGACAAATAATAATGGTTATATTTCATGGTAATGGTTTATTAAAGTGAATATAAGCAAATAAGTTACCTGATATTGATCATAAAGTGGTGCATCAACAGATGATCTTAAGATGCTCAAAGTATCTTCCATCCAGGAAATCAATGAATGGTCATCAATCATTTGACATGTAGCGATCGGTCGTAAATGCTTTAAGGTACGAATGAACTGTGATACATAAGTAATCACAGATCGTTTATCTGATTTGTCACATAACATATCTTCCACATCAAGTAATGGTCGTATATGCAGATGTTCCTTTGCTAGTCGAAACGCCTCAAATTTCATTATTTACATATTCCACCTATATAGACAGCAGGAAATGGGCTATATATAAACAAAAGCATGTAAGGATATAAAAATTTAATGTAAATCTTTAGAATTAGGAATGGAATAATTATTTTTTTTTTAGAAAATTTAAGTGCATTCTCAACTTAAAACTTCCCAAATTTATTGAGTAGATTTTATCTACCTGCTGAAGATTTGTTTTTGGATTGCTTCGATACACAATGTCCATGTCCACCAATTCAGGTCTTATACGATGTATCAGTGCATTGAAAGCAATTCCATCACGCCAACTTTTATCCATATCAGTCAGATTGATATTATAAGGTCTTAAAGATAAGTAATTAGTGTTTCATTAACTTTCAATATAACTTCTTAGAGTCATTTCCTTTTTTCTGTATCATATTTCGAATTCATTTAATTGATTTGATTATCTTCATTTCCCAAATATCTCATTCTCGAGCAATTTTTGCAAAATCATTTGTCTCTTATTTCTTTGTTCAAAATATTTCTAGTCTTGAAGACTGCAAATCATTTTAAATCAATTTAACACTTATTTTCCTTAAAATGTATGAACAATATTGAGCAAATCAATCAACATTCAAACTACCTTGCAAGTTGTGCATTTACCCATCGTAATACTACACGATCAACAGGTGCTTTTAGACGTCCAATACGTAACTGATGTGGTAATTTACCAAAGGGACTATTTCCGTTGCCAATTCTAGACGTTGATGGGCTATTGGCCAATTCTAGCTCAAATCCCCATTCTTTTAACAACTGGACGTTAGTCTCGATCTATAAGAGTGTGTACAAAGAAGAGTAAAGATGTAATCCCTACTTTTTTAAATTTGATTTAAAAAATACTTAACAAAGAAAATATTATTTAAGAAAATTTGATCAAATTAAGCAATTTTATACCTGGAAATGAAGGATCATCTGCCAAATGAGTCCACAGATTATTCGAGGATTTCCATTGGCTATATCTGCTGGATTATTGTTCACCAAATCAAGACCGCGACGTCGCAAAGCTGCTAGTGCTGTTGTTAAATTGCTGATATGGTGTACCCGTTTTGATTCTTTTGCCTTATTAATTGGCTAGAAATTTTGAAATTTCATTGAAATTCATTAATGCAAAAAAAGTTATACATTATCTTGCAAATTCAAGCACATTTTGAAAATTCAAAAGAAAAATTCTGTTTGAAATTTCAAATTCATTTTCAACCTTATTTCGTTTCAATTTTACATTTATTATTAAATAATGAACAAAAAGAAGGCTGGGTTTGACCAAACCATTAATTTTTGGTTTCTATGACTTTCCATTTCATCAGATTCATTAATTTAAAAGAATCAAAATATTTTTTTCAGCAAAGCATAACTAATATTCTACTTCAGAAAATCTTGAAAGAATCTGTTGATAGTATTACAAAATGCTCAATGAGATAACAACAACATACCAGTGCTTCACCGGTAAGAACTTCGATAAGATGGCATAATAATACACCATCTCTGAGATCCTCAAATAGATCTTCCACCAGTTCTGACGAACTATGCTAAAAAAATTATTTTATTACTTAATTAACAACATTTGCTAAATTAATAAAAGTTACTTTAACCACATTTGAATCATATTTTACTATACAACTTTATATCTTCAAAATAATGGATCTGAAGATTTCAATTCAGAATATTGTTAAATGATACTAGCAAAAAGACGAATTAAATATGCCAATATTATCAAGCAGGAACAGTTTGAGCATCAAGGAAAGGAATAAATAAAATGATTCAGTATTTAATATTATGTACTTTTATATGATGGAACTTATTCACAAATAAGTGTTTGTTAGTGCACTCAATATTTACTTATATTTTTGTAATTTTACTTTTTATAACTTCTTTATAATTTTACTTTTGCTTTTGTTTCCCCATTACATTGTTAAGTTTGACCATTATGAAATGGTAATTATTACTGAATTATGAAATGAAGTAGTAATAATTAGATGAAAATTTTGTTATTATTTCTAAATAATAAATCCACTTGCTATGCTTTTAAATGGATTCTTTCATAAGCCTTATCATAAGCGAGAATTATCAGAGGTAAGTAAACTTGACAATATGACTTTGTTGAAAGCCATTTATGATTGAAGTTCAAATAAATTACAATAACAGATCTTCAAATTAAGAAAACTGCATAACTGATAAGAAAATCACCACTATTCTGATATCTCATCATAGAATAATTTGTAAAAATATTCAAAAATGGAAAATGTAACTATTTACTATTTGCTTGTGACATTATTTATTACCTTATGGTCCCACTCATGACAACTATGATTGTTTACGAAAAATCAAATAGTTTCTCCTCCATATTCACTGCTTATTTTTTCAAAAGAAACTTCAATGAAAATTATTTGAGCAAAGAATTATTCACTTTTTTGCCAAACTTCTGGGAAGAAAGCATAGAAAATAAACTGTAACTGATTTATAGGAAAAATGAAAGGATTCTTGAAAGATAAATGAAATGGAGGTAATATCAACAGAATAGCAATGGGATGGTACTAAAGCTTATAAAATCCAGTATACTGCTCTTGAAATTTATGAAAACTTAAACAAAACTTTTCTCCTTTTCATTTTTCCACTCCATCCTAAAATTTGTTTATGTGTTTTTGCTTTGTTAGAATATTCTCAGAGTTATACTGAAATAAAAACATTATACTAAAATAAAAACAAAGTCATTTGAGAAGTTTTAGTGTGAATTTTTGTACCATTCTGTATTTTGACACAAATTAGCGAACATTCAAATTCGGATCACAACAGCTGCAGAAGAATGATGAATTTATAATTGATGAAATGTTCATTTACGAGTGAAGTTGTCTAATGAAATATTAATGAACTATATTAGAAGTATAATCGTACGGGCGCAAGGATGAAGAGAAAAATGCAAATAGATGAATGATTTCGGAGCGACAAAAATACCCAATGATAAATCAAATTTCATAGTAATTTACACAAAGATCGCTTATTCTTACTCAATATCAATTTAATTTTTAAATTACGAAATTAATTTAAAACACATAATAATGTTTTATTTCGTACTACAATCAAAATGAGTCTAAAAAAAAAAAGATTGTTTATATTGCAAACTTGATGAATAATAGCTGATGAATAATAGCTGATCGCTTCTCTACCAGAAAGTGAGTTTAAATTTTTCTTTTCACAACAAATTTTAATTGATGATTTACTAGGATTAACATTTTTTAATTTGCACCTAAACATCTGTAAATGATTTCTCATTCATTTCTCAGCTTTCTTTCTTTTTTTCTTCTGGAATGAACAACATGAACATGGATGGTCAAAATTAGCATCAATAACTAGAATTTTTATTAGAATTCTTAGTGACAGTTGATCCCTATTTAATGAAAAAACAATTTTTTTTTTTTTTTTTGCTAGTTGATTTTACCCAATGATACTTTTTTCAAACTGTTCCTAACTATTTATTACTCACTACATTACACACTTTTGACAGCAAAATTACTGCAAGATAAAAACGATAAATTCAAAAAAAAAAAAAAAATGCAAAATGTTATAGCAATAAAAACGGTGAGAAAACTAACAGTTTCAAGATGATAATTGACCCATTTTGTAAATGTCTTCTTTTGCATTTCATCGTGTTCATCTGAAATTGCATGCAGTCTATGATGCATATTTATCATTAATGATAAGTAATAATTCTTGTAGGAAACAAAAAAAATTAGTGTATTAAACTAAATAAATTATGCAGTTAATAAATAAATAATCAGATCTGCACAAATATTATTCCAAATAATAAATAAATAATCAGCTCTACACAAATATAATTTCAGATTTTGAATTTATTCATTGATTTGTACTGTTGAACTAGGTTGACTAATATCTGTTGAATTTTCCAAAAGGAATATTGTTGATTTTCTTGGAAAAAATACATTATTTAATATCATTATCTTTTTGGAATATATTTTCTCTCAGCGAGATTATAGCTATATAAAATAGTACTGAATAATAATAGCAGTTTGAGTCTTATTGCTTTAAACTTAATCGTATGCCATGAAAATGATGAAGTAAGTTAGTGGCAAATTCTGATGACTGCACAGCTGTCACCAAGAAAGAAAAGCTTTTATAGTTTTTTAGCCGATAAAAGAATAATTCCAGAATGATAGTGAAGTTAGGGAGTGATGACAGTATAGGATGACAAGAAAACATTGGAAGGAGAAGACTATTTCGTTGATGCTTTATTAACATTCAATTTTATTCTTTTTTTTTTTTTCCTTTTTTGCTGATCACATGAAACACAGACAATGATCATACGACAGAGAGAATTGCTATTGGATTGATAAGTTTATGTTTTAAGTTAAATAATGTCAGCCACTTTTCAGAATTAAAGTACAGAAAAAAAAGAAAAGAGCGAGCGAATCTTTTCAATCTTTCGAAGTTCAGAACAGCAATATGAATGTATTAAATTAGGTAACCATTTTAAGTTTCCCTTCCTTTCATAACGATTACTTATACTGACAAGCAATTACTCACAAATGATTCTTTCCAAATTTAATTATCTGGAAATTCTTATTATTGTAAGATGTTTTTTTATGATTTGTTTAACGTTTTAAAAATATTCTTTTTGTTAAAATTAAGAGAGATGATTGTTACTAAACATTATGATAATTAATAATTATTACAAAATATTAAAAGAAATGCTTACGTCGGAAAAATGGAAAGCATGTACAGCATGGTGCGGACATGTACATAAAAGTTCTGCAAATGATATAACTAAGAACAGTAAAATTAACGTCGTATTTATTTTCAGCGTAAGTAAAACAACAATAAAAGTATTACTGAATACATCTAAGGATATAATGCTACAACAACAGAATAACACCCTTCTTATTTCTAATTAATTAGATTAGAGTAACTAATGGATACCTATGCAAGATATTGCGTAGGTTTACTTATGAGTTATCATGAAAGTTAAAATAGCCCCATAAAATTTTTTTTAACATGCACTAGATTAATAAAGATCTATTCATAGTATCAAATATAAAGTTCATGCACTCATTACTAAAATTTGAGACATTAAGTAAAGAAAAAAAAAAAAACAAACAAACAAAAAAACACAAGAAATGCACAGGTGGTTTTACTGGCTTCAGTCCCAGTTATTTTATTAGTGATGATGAAAAACAGAGTAAACAACATTGAGGGTGGAGATTTCTGATCATCACATGATGTGAAGCAAGATAGGAAAGAAATTTATTTTATGTAATAATACATACACACACACACACACATATATATATATATATACCTACCCATCACACCCAGAGACATATACAGACAGATAGAAACAACAAATATTGATGATTGAAGTCCTTACAAATACACTAACTAGCATTATTAGAGTTTAATTGGTTTGGGTGACAACCACGATGAAAGCGACTAGGTGGCAACAACCGTGCAATGCTGCTTACTCATCGGTGATCAACAATAACCTTAAGAACAACACACTGAAACGACGACGACTATAATGTGACATATTTGTCTGTCACCGAGATATCTTCCAACTTCGAAAGCCATCAATAACCTCATCTTATTAAATTTAGTAACTATAATGTTTGAGCATATGATTGTTTCAATACATTGGAATTTTCAATTTTTCATTTGTATCTCGCAATTCTATCAAATGATGATGTTTCGTATGCAGTATGTTGTAATGTTTCTGCTATACATTGAACAACTCATCATTTCATACAGTACTGTTCGGGTAAATAGGATGATTTAACTAATTGTTGACTGTGATATGGGTAATCATCAAACTCGTTACAATAAATTGGATGACTTAAATCAAACTAGTTACCATAAATTGGTTGGTTTAATTTTTGAATATATTTAATAAAAGTATTACACTGAAATGCAGGACAACTTTTTTTTTCCTTTTTTTTGTTATTAAAGATTATAAGATGAAAAAAAAAAGTGCGCATCTATTTCTCATGCTATTTTTGTACTTCCGGATTCTTTTGCGGAAGAAACAATTCTTTTTTTTTTTTTTCGAAAAATTAAAAAATTTCAAATAAATTCAAACCTCTGCTGGATGAGAGTCGTCCTGGTGAATCCATTCGTGAATTGCTAAAATATATGTTAAGTTTTTCTCTTTTTTTTTTTTCAATCATTAATTTTTATTAAAATTGCAATAAAACGTAATGACGTAAACGCGAATACAGTATAATGAATATTAAAAATATTTCACTGTATAATAGGGATTGTTATTAATAAATCATTTCACTCATCCAAATATATCAATCTAATTTTATAAATGGAAATAGCAATTTCTTTCATTAGTTCATTTTTAAATAATATTTTTTGATAAAAAAATTTTATGAAAATCATGAACAGTGTAAATAATATATATGCATAATTTGAAATAGCTTATTAACAGCATTTATAGAACAACCATTTATCAAGCAACATTAATTGCATAAATTCTAAGTAACAATAATATGTAGCTAAGCAATTTAAAATATTACACATAATAAATCCATCAGAAAAGATAAGCAAATGTCCATTAAAACCAATTCAACATATTTATGCATACACATAACATTCTTCTTTATCAGTAAACAAACAAACAAATAATATAAGTTAATAAATTTATATTAAGTTAAAAAATATAAGTTAAAAAACATATATATATATATATATATATATATAATAAACTATAAAAAGCAAATAATAAAATAATAGAATTTGTTTTTTCTTTCTTTCTCTCTTTTTTTTTTTTGTTCTCTTTAAATTTTCATTACTTTTTGAAACATAGTAAGTGCGTGCGTGTATGTTTGCTTATCCTGTTTACTTTTTCTCACCTATTTTCAACCTTTCTTTTTCTTACATTAATCTTACATTATAGAAAGTTAGTAAGTTTCTAAGTTTACGAAGTGTACTTAATCATATGTATGAGGTACACAGTCTAATATTTGTGTATTATTTTAAATCAAATTTTAAAAGTTTTTAAATTTTAAAAGTTTTTATGATATAATTTGGATGAATATAGCTGTAAAAACAAACATTCCTGTTAGTCAACAAACAAAAAAGAAAAAAAAAAAAAAAACGGAAAATTCCTCAGTTAACAACACGCAACTATGATGATACATACATAGCAAAAAGGCAAATTAAAAAAAAAAAAAAAAGGAGAAAGAAAGAAAAAATAAGATCCAAAAATTTTAGAAATATTTTTTCGTACTGTTCGAACATCACATTAGCATTATTTTCATTAATTGTTACTAAAAGAGAATCCATAGAAGTGAAGCAAATGTAACATTACAATCATTAACAAATACATTTCTTCCTTTCCCTTTTTTTCTCTCCCTCTCTCTCTCTCTCTCTCTCTTTCACTTACTTCGTCACCACTGTTTCCTCCATATTAGAAAAAGGAAATAAACCGAAGAAAATATTTTTGAAAAAAAAAATTTCACTCATAAATTGTTTAATGAAATAAAATAGAATGTAATATTACAAATAAATACATAATAAATGAACAATAAGAGAGTTAAGCAAATAAATTAATTTAGAAAAAAAAAAAAAAAGTAGGAAAAGTTGAGAAAAATGAATAATAGGAGGAAAAAATTGATGCACATATGAAAGCATCGTTTATTATTTGATAAAATATTGAAATATACAAGAGAACAGAAAGAAAAAAAAAAACTTTTCTGGTGAATTGTTGCATCAATTTCTATATATTGGATTGGTATGAATAAACAAGAAATATATTTTAACATTTCATTTAATCTCTCTCTCTCTCTCTCTATAAGATTAAATTCATTGTAGTTCATTGAAATTCATTTCCTAATTTCTGTATGCACTTTTTTTTTTCCTGTTTCTTGATAAAAAAGAAAGTGATAATGTGACTAATTTTCTAAGTCTGCAAAAATATTTTAAAGTTTATATGTTAGCGTTATAATGACAATATTATTACACACAAATGCTTTAGCTTAGATCAGAGATTAAATTGCTAATATTCAAAATTCCCATTCCTCTTTATTATTGAAATTTGATTTTCACTTTTTTTTTTTTTTTTTGGGGAAGAGAATATTTTTGCATAGATTTCTTTCACGAAGAAATGTAATAATTTCGTTATTTTTCTCATCAAATAGATATGAGCTGAGAGTTTTTTTTTTATCTGTTGTAAATTTCACACTGAAATTAGGCAAATTGTAATAAACTCAATTTGAATAATATTAACTTCTTTTAGACAAAAGAAAAATCTGATTTCTTTTTTAGGGTCACTTATTTATTACTACTGACCATTTGATACTATTTTTTTTTTCTTTTTGTTGTTGAAAATGCAATGAAAATTTTGATCCAACGAAAATAGAAATTTTCATTCATTTTACTTTTTATTTTATAACCACTCAAAAAGTTCCACATTGCACTATCTAAGTTGGAGATAATTAGTTAATAAAATAAAACAATTAATTGGGTAAAAAATTCAAAAAAAAAATAAATAAATAAAATGGAATTCAAGAGAAGTGCTTTTCACGTTCTATTTGCGATAATAATGCAACAACAACTACTTACGACATTAACAAGTCATACTTTTAACATTATATCCTTTACAAACACGGCATATCAGTGATTACGATACTGTCGAGAAAAAAAAATAGGAAATCGAACTACTTCGAGAGTTATTGCAAGAGAAGAGACAGAGAGAGAGAGAGAGAGAGAGAGGGAGAAATTGATGCTAAAAAAAAAAGAAACGAATGGACTCATTCTTCAAGGACAGAGAAGAGAAAAGCGCAAAAGTGTATTGTGATGTATGTGTAAATTACCCCACCGTCCTCATCTTTTTGTTTTTTTTTTTTTTTATAAATAAAAAAAAAGGAGAAAGAAAAGATGAAATTAATGGATGCTTGAAATGAATGGTGAAAAAAAAATGCATCTATGCATCTATTTTGTCTATTTACCTTTTTCATGAAGTAATTAATTATCAAATTTTTTCAATCTTTAACTTTTAGTTATCGAAATGTCTAATTTCAAAACATAGAAATAATATTAGTCATTTTAACTTTAACTTAGCTTTGTCACAAATTTGCCTCGAAATCTCTATCTCTTACGTTTATTTACTGCTATTATTATAAGCAATATGTTGTCAATTAGCAAAAGCAGGAGAACATGACAATTTTAGTGAAATTAAAACAAATTTTCATAGTATTTTCATCTCAAATATATCTTTATTTATTTTATTTATTTATATTTATTATTTATTTACTTATGTTTATTCAATTTATTTATTAACAGATAATTACTAACAGATATCCTTAAAATAACACATCTTCTATAGCTTCTGTCTTCTGAAAAATATGTATATATATATATGCACATCTAAATAGATATAATATATGCATAGAAAAATACATATCTAAATAAATATAATTGTTAATAAAAATATTCAAGAAATATGCAAAACAAAAAAAAGAAGGAATGTTAAAAGAAAATAAATCAATTTTTCCTTCTTTTTTTTGTTTTTCATCCAGTTTCTATTATTAAACCTATTTTTCAATATAATATTCTTTTCAGGCAAATATCATTTAAGCAGAAAAAAATTAATATTAAATCAATAATACAGCAAAAAGAAAAAGGATAAATTTCCTTCATTTCAAATAATAAATTCTTGATTATTCACTTAAATAATAAATAAAATTCAATCAAATTAAATATTTCACAGCAAAATTTTTTTTAAAAAAAAAGAAGCAAAAACAAAGAAATAACAAAATATTTCACTGATAGCTTTTATTAGTTAAGTAGTAAACAATGAATGAAACTTTTAGAAGCAAAAAAGCACAACGATACAAAAAGTAAATTTATTACCAAATTTCTTAGCTCTTTTTCATTCTGTTCGTAAAGATGTGTGTGTGTATGTATGTGTGTATGTATGTATGTATGTATGTATGTATGTATGTATGTATGTATGTATGTATGTATGTATGTATGTGTGTATGTGTGTGTGTGTGTGTGTGTGTGTGTGTGTGTGTGTGAAAGACATTAGTTTAAAAGAAAGTGAAATATTCGGAGAAGGGTAGAAAGAGAAAGCATCACTTCCAATCCATATTCAGTAACAAATATGTATGTGTGTCTGTGTGTATGTGCATGTGTGTCTATGTGTATGTGCATGTGTGTCTGTGTGTATGTGTCTGTGTCTGTGCATATATATTTGCATATGATTATTTATAGAGAAAGTACAATAAATATTTACAAGATCTGATAATGAAAGAGACGAATGTCTGAGAAGTAGTCAGCTATTTCAGGAATGTTTTTTTTTCCCTCTCTCTCTCTCTCTCTCTCTCTCCCTCTCCCTCTCTCTCTCTCTTAGAAAACAATTTTAGTATATATAGAATAGATGAATTAATGAATCATCAACAAATAATATTTATATAATTGATTAATATTACTTAAAATCAATTAAATGTTTAAATTATTAAAAGTAATAAAAAAAAATAATAAATTGAGTTTATAATTTGAAGAGAGCAAAATTTATTGATAAATAAGAGAGAGAGAGAGAGAGAGAGTATTGATTGAGTGATAATAGGATGTCTCAAATAAAACTTAAAAAAAAAAGGATAAAAAAAGGAGATCAATAATTAATTAATTAATTCTTATTTATTAGTTAGTCATCATTTTGTCTCATTCCATTCATCCTTTCCCGCCAATTTTAAAATTTAGTTTCATTTAAATTTGACGAAAATTGATTATTTGACAATCATTTATTTGTTGAGAAGCGTACGGATAGTTTAGTTGATAAATGGATAAAATTGATGGAAAGAATTTGCTTTAGTGAGAAATGCAAGCATTGCTATTTGACAGTTTTGCTATTTTCTTTTCTTTTTTTTTTTTTGTAAATGTATTATTAATATTCTTTTCTATAAATTAATTAAAATAAATTTCACGAAATATCATTTCAAAAATTTTTGATAGCTCTATTATATTACTTAATGGGTAACAAAGTAAAGAAGGTGTATCGTAGTGAATATGCAAATCAATCAATAATAATAATATATCCGTAACCTAACAGTGTTAGTTTTGAATTGTAACATTCACATTTAACTTTTTAAAATTCAAACTCAAC